GTTCTACCAGCGCATGCTCTGACTTCGGCGCTTATATTCGTGATAAGATAAATTTTTCAACTATTAGGTTGTCCCGAAATTAATGCCGGTTTCAATGTCTCATACTTTATTTGATATTTTTCCGAGAAATTTCCATACGATTGCTGTACTATTGCATATCGTTTGGAAAGCCCATTTCATTCTCTTTCTTGCACGGCCATTGTATTTTGATGGGACTCGGGCCTCACTTTTTTTTAAAGGTTTGAAGTGAAGGCGTCAAAGTAGTGGTTTGAGCAGGTTCACTTCTATGAGTTGAAATTTGGAGAGGGTGCTGTGCGGACAGCTCGGAATAGGATTGCTGTGTGGGGCTAAGGATGTTGCAATAAAAGCACACTGCTTCGATGGCTCCGAAGCTTTCAAGTTAGGGAAATCTAGATTCGAAGTGAGGGGGGTTACGGACGACATTCTCCTCTTGACGGCGGCCTTCTGAAGACCCGGCAGAAGAAGATTTCCAAACAAGTGTACGGCAGCCAGCAGCATAACCTTGAGCAAGCATACTGAAATTTTCGGAGCGCCTGAAGGTACTTGGGAAGGTAAGAAAGCTGGACAAGTGGGTACCGCATGAACTGACTGAGCAGCAGCAAAGTCACCTTGCAGGGATCTTGGCACAACTTTTTTTTACTCAACAAAAATGTCCGACTCTGGGACTTTTTGTCATCCTCGACGGAAATAGGACCCTTCGCTATAGAATAGAGCAATTTTCCAAAAATCTAAACAACTACGAACATCAAAAACTTTTTCCAAAGTAGAATTTCTACAAGGTGAGGACCATGCTGATGGTTTCGTGGCCTTCCGGAGTAATGATGCATCGCAGCTTTCTGAACCCAGGTGATTTTGGTAGAGCATCAATGTCTGTCCATAACATCGATATAATGCTCCGTAAAGAGCAAGGCCTCTAACCAGAAGAAGGAAAAGAACTGTTCTCCATGTTTGACGCCCAGCCACATGTCGCACAAAGGTCTTCGTAAGAAAGGGATAAATCAACCTATCCAGCTTTGCTTCTTACAGTGCATTCGCAGGATCTCACCCTCACCAACCTCCTGTTTTCCGGCAATCTCGACAGCTTCTTGGGGAGAAAAAGATTTGAAAACCGAGACATGATGGAAAAGACCTTGGCCGATATTTGAGCTTCTATTGTTCCTGTATCTCAAGTTCGTTAATTAAACCAGTACGCTTCCTGTTAAGAAAAATGAGTAGTTTCCAACACTTTTTTGAATTACTGAAAATGTTGAGTTTGAGCTGAGATATGTTGCTTTGAAGACGGAGGTCAAAAACCGGCATTAATTTCGGGGACAACCTAATATATAGATCCGCTGCTGAGGCAAACTCAGCCACACTCTTACGGTCTGCGCTTAGCGTTTAGGTTTGACTTGTTTCTGAGAATATATATATTTCTTAGAAACAGCTGAACAGCTGAATTGCTGGGGCATGCATTTCTGATGACCCTGAAGAAGAAAGGATACCTAATGCGAATATCCTCTAAACCTTGAGCTTGACGAGTTGATGGGAGGAGATAGAAAGAACGATACGTTACTTGGAATGCATTCTACTCAGCAAGTTCTTAAAAGGAGGATAAGAATGCAACTATCAAACAGCCATAATAAGTAGTGCCGAGATATTCGATGTCTTGAAGTGCTGTGAAATAAATAATAAATCAAATCTGTGGCATTGCAGGAAACTCTTCGCTATGGTCCTGCTGTACTGGATTACAAACCCCTACCCGGTCAAACGGGCTGGGTTTCTTGTTTTACTTTTGTTCCTTCGACTTTGTCAAGATATTACGTTAGTGCAGCAGTAAGGACAATACGTGAATCTGTTGCTTGTTTTTGAGAGCCGGAGGGATGTAGTGATCAGATAGGTGGCCACTTATCACGCACACGGTCTAGAAGTCGTTTCCAATCGAATCCTGCGTAGGCCATCCAAATTCCCACTCATCCGTGGTTGCCCAATTATTGTCAGAGTCGTATTGGACATAGAAACGCTGATGTGCAATACATTGTGTTTCCACGCAAATTATTGTCATAGTCAACGTATTGGAAATACCATTTCCATATTCTGAGAGGACAGTCGTAATACATGGCGCATCTTAAAAATGAAATTGATCAACGCCGACTCTTTGGTCTCTTATCCCTTGACAACTACTCTAGATTTAAAGGGAAGGCATATAGATGTGGCCGGATCAATCCTTGTGCTAGTTCTTGTCAGAAGCCATGCCATAGCTGAGAATTCTCAGTGCTTGTTGAAGCAGTTTGCAAAGGATACAATATTCTATAATTTCTCGCATAGAAGAGAAAGAAGCGGAGAGATTGTCAGTGTAAGCACTAATTCCCATGCAAGCCTAGATATCAAAAAAAAGATAACGGCTTTGAAATTACCTCTGATAGCCGAATTTTGTAAAGTGCATTGAGGACCGCCAACATCGAAGAGAACCTGTCCTAGAGAAAGTGTGTCGTTAATAAGTAATATAAATAAGTTTGTTGCTTCCAGCCTATTCAGAGGGGGCCTTAGAGAGCCTCAAGGATAATTGAAAGAGCACGTGACACTCGAAAGCAAACATGTATGAGGGAGATCAGGAGTTGGCGGCCACGTCCTGGTACGCATGGAGGACTTCATAAATTGCTTTTTTCAAAGCACAAAGATCACGATCATTCCAGAACTATTATAATAGCAGCTTCGAGGTTGGATGGGGTAGGCTTCTGCAGGAGACATTTAGGTGAACAAAGATTCTCCAAAAAAAAAAACTCACACATCAGTTCCGACGCATATAACACGAAAATTGGAAATTTATAGACTGGGCAAGGAAAAGTTTTCATGAGCCAATGTGTAAAGGTAAAGGCTCACTTAGGTAACACTGGAGGACTCAGCCTCCTCTATCGGATGTTCTTCTTCTGTGACCATAGCACACGCAGGAACCGCTCAGAATAACCACTTGTTCCCGATGGGTAAATGACAACTGGCGTGTAATCCCAACAGATTCTATTGTTAGAGACCGGACCAATTCAGGAGGATTGGTTAGCAGGTTCCGCGAAGAAAGGGGTAGACAATATGTACATTCGGAGCGTGTCAACCCACGTAGACGCGAGGAGGCGCACGCTGCGGCTCAGCTACCTGGAGGCGGCGGGGTGGCATGCATCCCTCGCTGCGCCCTGATACACACAACTGACAAACAGCCAGATGAATTAACGTAAAAGCCAAAAACACAAAACGAAAAATACAAATAAAATACACAAAGAAAGTGTACGACAATACATATTCAATTAAGCGTCACTTCTTTCACCACTTGGCTTCTAGCTCCCGGGTACCTGTCACTCCTAGGTTAGCCCCACTGGCTTGCGTTACGCGCTAGCAGACCGCCTACGTTGGTTGCTTTGAGTTCTTATGGCGGCTCATGCAACCGAGTGCCTGGTCGGGCCTTGGTT